ATCATCTAAATATAGCCTACTAACTCATTTTAGTTTTTGTATCTAATTTGTTTTTATATTGGCTGCCACATATCCAGTGATGTGGTCCCAAGGTTTAATGAGAAATTTACTCATGCACTTTCCCCCTTTATCTGCCATAAAACATAGCTAGGGATTTTCCTAAAATACTTAATTAACTTTAGAAAAAACAAATGAATATGCACATATACACATCCAAATCATTGTAATTTATTTTTGTAGGTTTTTTGGAGACTCAGTAATAAAAATGTGAAAAGTGATATTTGTATGTTTGTTAATATCACTTCTTATAGCACACTTAGTAGTTAGCTGGGAGACTGTGAAAAGTGATATGTGTACGTTTGTTAATATTACTTTTCTCAGCAAGCCCCAGGACGAATTAAGCCCTGGATGTGGGGTCAGGAGACGGTGGAGGGATGGATGTGGGGTGATGGGGGATTGGATGTGTGGCATGGAGGGGATGGCGGGGGTGCGTGGTGAGCCCTGATGTGTGGCCGGGAGCCAGAGCATGTGGCTAGAGCTGGGGGCTGGCATCTGCCGCTGCACAGCCAGAGCTTGGGGGCCAGGCCGGAGCATGCCGCTGCATGGCTGGAGCTGGGGGCCTGCACCCAGGGCTAGAGCTCACTGCTGCGTGGCCAGAGCCCAGAGCTAGGGGACAGAGTCCAGGGCCATGTTGCCAGAGTTGGGGGTCAGTGCCTGCTGCCACATGGCTGGAGCTGGCACTTGCTGCTGCGTCTCAGAGGTTGGCACCTGGGTCCAGCTCCTGTCACCAGGGGTTGGCACCCGCTGCCACGCGACTGGGGCCATATGGCTAGAGCCAAGGGTCATCCCCCGCCACTGCGTGGCCAGGGCCGGGGTTAGCAACCAGCACCTTGGAGCCTGGGAGTAGAGCTGGGGACCAGCGCCTCCTGCTGCACGGCCAAAGCTGGGGGCCGGAGTTCAAAGCCCCGCAGCTGGAAGCTGGAGCCACATGCCTGGACTCAGGAACCGGAGTCAGGGGTTGGCCCCATGGCCAATATCTTGAAGTCCAGCCACTGGAGCTCGCTGCCCAACCACCCCAGGGCTGAAGCCTGAGCCCTGTCGTGCCCTGACCCACCCCAGTGGGTAGAGCACTTACCTTGCTCCTGCAGTTTTGTGTCCCACCTGTCTCCAGAGGCGGTGCAGGGCGGCACAGCCAAGAGCAAAAAGGAGGAAGGGAGAGGGTCCAGTGCCTTGCCCCACTCCCTCCATCACCACCCAAGAGACTGTTGTGACTGCACAAAAAGCCACTGGTGGCCACATTTGAGAAACACTAGAATCTGTGTGCTTGTAGAGGGCTGAAGGATTGTAAGAGTCGTGTTTCGCCCCCTCCATTTAAACAAAAGCGTTCCCTTAACTAAGAGAATATCTCTGGGCAATCAAACTTATATTACAGCAAGTTTGATTTGGAAATGTGGGGTGGAGGGCGCGCGAGAGAGACAATGAGACAGTCTATTGCTACTGTACCACAGCATTAAACTTTTCTTGTTTGAAAAGAGGAAGGGGTTGGTTCTGAAAATCTTGTAGGCAGGTGTGATATTTTCCTCATTACATTTTTTTTAAGGTACTGGACATCTAGCGCAATTTTGGGCATTGAAAAGACAAAATTGGTCCTCTAGAATTTTTTGAGCCCCCATAGAGAAACATCTCTGGGGATATTGTCATCACAGGGAAGAGAGGCTGTATTTGGACAGAGGGTGAACTCTCATTAAAGTCATAGAAGTTACTCTAATCCTTCCTTCATTTTGGTGTGGAACTTTAACAAAGAGTCCCTGGGAGCCTCCTCAAGCACATTGTTCCTCCTACTAATTCTTTCTCAGATATTGTTTTCTGGTAGTACTCGGAAGTTTGAAGCTCTGACATGGAGTGCTGTAGAAAAACTCTCACATGCAGAGTTGTATGAGTGCTAAATATCTTACTGTATGTATACACCCTTTCTGTGCAGTGTTGTTACTTTTATATTTTTAGCATAAATCTAAATGTAATACTTAAATACCACTTCCTTCCTCTCCTAGAATAGTTACTATATTTTACTTTCACTTGGCTGAACTGCTGATATGTCCTTTTACCTCTTTTTTTCTCTAAAAATAATAGTTTTATTATTTGATGAAAAACGCTTGAACATATTTTCCTGGTTGTTTTTAATTTACTTTAATACTGTGTCCTTCTCTTTGTGTAAGAGACAGAATGGTAGAAGATTAGAGTCTTAGTATTATAAGAAGTTGTACTATAGGTCCCAACTTGAGGCATCATGTATGTACAGTGAATAGGATGAAAAATTGGCGGGGAGTGGTGTATTGGTATGGGAACAGGTATATAAAAATGTGATCTGGAGTTTCTTCTAAGCATGATTTATCTATTAATTGGCTTTTGTTTTTGTGATTATTTTCTTCAGTATTAGTTGTTGGTGGATTTTACCAGATATCATTTTTTTGAGCATAAGCAAAAGTTGATTTGTAGTCATTAGGCAGCAGTTGATGAGAACATTTTTCTTTATTTTAAGTGGGTTTTAGGAGGGTTTATGAAGTTCCAAGTTAGAGTTCGTATAACAGACCATTTAACAACTATGTATCTGACACTGAAAAACATATTGCAACCCTGACTCAACTAACTTTAATTAGTTCCATTATTTTTCATTTGACTGGGATTCTTGAATACAGTATTTGAGGATCTCAAGAGCATTGGATTTCCTCTTGGGAATTTTCAGTTGCACTAGTTTTATTTCTGCTTGGGTGGCTTTTAAGAAATGGTTTGTCATAGGGCTTTCAAAAGTCATGGATTCTGTTACTTCCAATTATTATTTTTTGGAACCTTGTTGACTTCTACAGTTTTAACTTCCCTGGGGTTGAAGTGTTGCAGTTTTCTTTGAATTGAGAGGGAGGGGAAAGTTTCACTACTTTACTCTGGGTGTGACTTAATAGAGAACAACCTGTACAAAAAAACCCCCGGGGGTTTTTGATTTATAAAAGAATATACTGAGTACAGTATACTCCCGTTTATCCAAAAAACTATTATCCAAACCTCCTCATTGTTCAAATCCTGTCGTTATCCACCAGCAGGAGATGCATGCCCTCTGCAGCGGGGACAAGGAAGGGGTTTGGATAATGTGACGGTTTGAATAACAGAGCAGAGATTTTTCACCTGCACCCAAGGCTAGGAGAAGCCCCTGGTTACAGGGGAGGCCACCCTGCTGCTGAATGGCTCCTGTGGCAGAACAGGGACCACAGGGAGCCCTCTGTGGCTGGGCTGTCACAGGAGTGAGCAGGGCCATGATAGTGGAATTGCTGAGGGCTCCCTTTGTTGCCACAGGGCTGGTAACACCTGATTCCTGCAGGCACAAGGTTGTGGAGGTGGTGTCACTGGCACTGCAACAACACAGGGAGTCCTCTGCAGCCCCGTGTCACAGGAACGGGGCAGAGCAGAGACCCCTGGCCAGCACTGCGAAGAGGAGGAGAAGTCCCCAGCCACAGAGGAGGCAACCCTGCTGCTGAATGGCTCCTGCCTTGTCGATTATCTGAGCTGCCCGATTATTTGAATAAAATCTGTGTCTCCCATGCTATTCAGATAGTTGGGAACATACTGTACTGCCTAAGTTGGCTACAAGCGTTTTATATCGAAAGTTTCATAATCTTCAGTTGCAGAAATTGTTTTGGAATAAATGTAACACATTTTTAATGAATGCTGTTGGAGAAAACTAATCTGATTTTCATATCTGCTGAAACATATGACCATCTTAGTCAGCTGTCTTTGAGGAAGCTTTCCAGAAAAAAGTATCTCATGCAACAGCAAGTGGTGGGGGGAAAAAAACCCCTGCAGCTGCTTGTATATGAAGAAATGTATCAGTTTGAGACACCAGAAAGCACTTAATATACAAATGCAGTGTAGTGGAACAGATTTAGGCATCTGTTGACCTTTATGTCACCATTAAGTTCTATGTATTATAACTTCACAGAGACACACACTGGTAATGTAACATGGTGTAAACTATGGGGCAAGATTTGACATATCAGCTCAGGAGAGCAGGATACCCAGTAGTAGAGATGTCAGTAGTTGTAATGAACCTTTGACTTATTCCTGTTTCTTTCGTGGCCAAGTCAGTCATACCCTGGCCAGTGATACGTGTGGGTGGCAGACACCCTTCTGTACTTAAGAAGTTGTGCTAAGTAGACCTCTGCTCTCTTACAACTTGTCTAAACAGAGAAGCCACACTGGGTTAACTAAAGGTGTGATGTTGCATCAGTTTAGCTAAACCAGTGGAACTTTGTGTACATTTGATTTAGCTAAACCGGTCTAATCTAACATCACATCTTTGGTTATACCAGTACTACTCTCTGTGTAGACCAAACCTCAGTCTGCAGACAGCAAGCCCCTAATTCCCTTTCCCCAAATTATCTGAAGCTTGACCTGGGCCTGAGTACTTTGACTTACTGCATAAAAGTTTTAGATACAGTGTGCTGATGTTTGAAAATCAAGTAATCATTCCATTAAGCAGTGATGAAAGTGATGGAAAGAGTAGGCCCAGCTAGAGAATCTACTTTTACTAATCACTTAAAGTGCTTTCTAAATTTGAAGTACCATGCAAGCATTAACTAATCAGTCTGCACAATGTCCATGGGAGGTGTTAACCACAGTTTTGCAGTTGGAGACAGCAAGACAAGCTGAAGTGACTTGCCCAGGGCCACCCAGTCAATCAGTAGCAAAGCTGATTAGAATTTGGAAACCTCCAACTCTAGACTACATTTCCTGAGATATGGCTCATATTGCTATGTATTTAAATATTCTGTCTCAAAAAGGGATTTATAGGTGAGCTTAGAAAACATGTTAAAAGCATTTTTTCAGCACACAGATGCAAAAGACACTCAACTGTTCGATTTACAAAAAACAGTTCAGGTCTGATTAGATGAAGTTTGCTTAGTAGCAGTCAGTTTGCTATGACTAACATTTTGGATTTGTTCTTTCTAAAGACATCTCCTATATGGATCAACCTGCTAGTGATGGTGAAGCTGGGAAAAGGCTACTGTAACCACAGCCAGGATGAATCGGCTGCCAGATGATGCAGAAAATGCTCAGAGCAGCAGTCGGGGCTCCTGTCCTTCCTTGCAGGATGTCCATTCCATCAACCCAGCGCAGCTGATGGCAAGGATTGAGTCCTATGAAGGAAGAGAGAAGAAAGGCATATCAGATGTCAGAAGGACTTTCTGTTTGTTTGTTACCTTTGACCTTTTATTCGTAACCTTGCTGTGGATAATAGAGCTAAATGTGAGTCTTGTTTTTCAAACTTTTTTTAGATTTGTTTTCTTCCTTCAGGGGTTGGTGGGCTCAGAAATGGCTAATTGCCACCATTCCACTCCAACTCAAAGTTTGTACTATCACCCCAGTTTGACATGTTACATTTTAACAAATGTCTTGCCATCTAACAGTCAGTGAAAACAGATACCCATTTAGCTTAGCAGTGGCAACTCTGTTTTAATCGCTGCGGTTTACACTTCATTATTATCCATTTGTATTGTTATATCTTTTCTGGCAACACTTGTGTCTTAATTCTAATTATTAACCATGTCAAACTAGAACAAGGAAAGTGCAGAGTACTTAACAGAGAGCAAAGCATCAAAAAGATTCACGCTTCCATGAATTTGGATATTGTGTGAATTTCAATCTAACAAGGGTTTAGCTCAGGGGTCGGCAACATTTGGCACGCAGCTCGCCAGGGCAAGCACCCTAGCGGGCTGGGCCAGTTTATTTACCTGCTGACGCGGCAGGTAAATTAAACTAGTCCCG